CTGGTGATATTTACCTGGATATCAGTCCAGAGAACACCTCATAGTCTGCGTCTGTCTTAGTGACCACAGGATACCCACCATGAGGTGTGTCCAACAACAAATGAGTGAGGCGAGACACAGATTCCACTTTGTGCACAACCTTATACACACGAGAGAAAAAAGGCTTCAGGATATGGAAGGACCGACCGCTTAGGTTCAAGAAGATAACTGCCACGGTCCCTAAGGTTAAGACCTGACAAACAAGCCGCACTCTACCCAAATTAATCATAACCATTACAATTTCCTCAAATGTGATTGGTGCTGTAGTAATTGCTTAGGGTTAGGGTGCTTTATTTTTCACTAATCATTCTGTAGAGTTGTAATCGGACAGTGTAATCGGACAGTTGGCTGTAACCGGACACCTGTATGAAGGAAAAGCGCGGAATATTTGCCTCGCTTCCAAAACGAGTCGGTCCTCGTTGCAAAGTTTTTAGAAACACCCAAAAGATGTCTGAGAAGCACCGGTTCGAACCTCACCAAAGCCCATTTATTTTTTTTATATTCTACTTTCTGTCAAAACTTTGATTACAATTAACCTGTAAAGATCACTTCGTCTTTTGCGACATTCCAAACGGTATACATCAATCTACTTACTATTGCAGGAGAGGACATGGCTTCGCCAGCTCGAAACAACTCCAAGTTAATCCTAAAAAAAAGAAGCAAATGTTGATAAGGTGTATTTTATAAATAAATAAATAAGATTGTGAACAATCTAGGAATGTCCTGGCGTGGCTCCAATACACTCTGTGATTGGTCTAGAAAACGTGCCAACAGACTCAAAACTAATTGTGCCTTGGCCAATCGCATTTTCCCGCATTTCAGGCCGGTTACATGACTTTATTTGCTAAGGCGTAATATGCTCGTTGTCATATATACCTCCGCATACGCCTACAGGATCAACCGCTTACCATAAAGTGTAAATGCATACGCAGACGTTGTACAAGAGGTCTGAACTGAGTGTTAAACAAGAACAAACTTTAAAGACACCAAAAGTAATCACGCATTGCATTGGTTTTACGTCAGTTTTCTCTCTGATTGGTCTAGAAAACTCGCACCTCTCTTTCGACCAATCAGATGCAAAGACCAAAATTAATCACGACCTTTTCTCTCACATTTTTTGAATTTACTATGGCCTCCGAGTGATATTTCCTTTGTTCGAAACACGATGCAGAGTGCTCCTCACTTGAGTGTCGTTAAACTAAAACACTCTGATCACAGCTCCAAAAGGAACAAGAGAAAGTTTCACACGGAGCCAAAGAGAAGAAGAAATAAAACAGGTAAAGGGCCGTTACTTTGGGCCTTTCCCGCGCTTTCTCGCTACTTGCCAAAGCGCGGAAACGCGCTGGTGACATTTAATTGGTTGAAAGAGTGGTAAGCGTTTTTTTGAACCAATCACAGAGCATGTTATCGCAAGACCAATGCTTTTCGGGATTACTTTCGATGCAACTGAAAATTGCGTTTAAATATTTGCCACTCACGCTTTGGATCCCTCGTGAAGAATAACAGGCTCAGAGTCAAGAAAGGGAATACACTTCAACTCCAGCAGAGCATGGTACAACGGATGAGTAGCAAAATCTCCTACCCACTTGGCTACCATGATGGCGACCATGATAGGTAACAAAAACTGAATGTCATTTGTGATCTCCATCTGGGAAAGAAGGAAAAGTAGGGAGTAAACAAGTATCACAAAAATTACATATGACTATAAGGGATATGCGATATTTCACGAAACTCAACCCTAGAGAGATCTGTAATATAAACCGGTATTAACCCAGATTGATGGCTCCCCGTACGCTAGATATACTTCCTGCGACTAATATCACACACTCACCATAATCACTGTTAAGGACATGGTCAGTCTTGATACACCACCGAAAAATGACGCCGCTCCAATGAGAGCAAAAGCTCCTGGGTCCATCCAAGCCCAGTAACCTAAAATGAAATATCCCCAAAAGTTTAAAAAATACGAACGGTGTAGCCACGAAAAGGGGCTGTGGACGCAAGCAGATGCCCTCCTTTGATAAACAGGTTTCAATAAAAAATTTTGAGAAGATATTTTTCCTTCAGTAAGTGTCAAAATACTGAAGCATTGAAGGAACATTTAATACATTTTCTCACGAGTTTGAATCGAAGGAAAATCCGAATCGCCAGAGAGGAATAGCACCTCAGACGTTTGTATTTCTCTGTCAGGGATTGTCTACCACGGAACAACAGAGAACTGGTGGGTAAGTTGAACTTTGCACTAGGTTCGTATGAACTATAGTAACCAGTAATAAATGAACACCAAAGAGGTAAGAAAAAGGCATGGACAGTTATGCGATTCAAGATGCTAAAAGACGACTTAGGTTTCTCCTACTGACCCACCTGTAGAGTGGAAACCGAATAAATCCACCATAGCTCTTCCAATAATACGGCCGTATGTTCCACCTATGAACCTGACGGACAAGACATTCAATTTCATTTTCTCTCTTTATTCACATTCTTTCTCTATGATTCTTTTCTGTAAGTTAACATACGAGAGGGACCCACAGGGAAACTGGAGGAGAAAAAAAATCCCAGGGAATAGACCCTGTGCGTCTTCTAGCCCCATGTTGTCCTTTAGCGCCAAGTTTTCGTCTCCACTATGCTGACAAAATAGTCTGGAAAACAGTACTGTTAAAGGAGCAGTTAGTTTTCTTTAGTTTACTAAGTGATTTGAGTATTGGTCTTGAAAAAAAGTCCGCCACCCTCTCAGCCAATCAGATTAAAACCTAAGACCACGACTAAGTATCTCGCATTTTCCCGCGCTTCAGTCAATTAACTTGTTCTTTTTATTGAGCTCTCGTTGGCTTCTCAAGATATTTTCTGTTGTTTCAATTGGCCAGTATGGTCACTTTGGTTTTCGTATAACCGCACTCAGTCCACATACGCTGTAGTCTTAAGTATTAATGATATGTATACTTACAACATTGGCACCACTAAACCACTTGAAATGGCACTGCCGGCCGACCAACACGCGAGCAAAAAATAAATAACCAACACAGAGCAGAGAGACCTGAGGAGGGAAAAAAAAAGACAGTCGTCTCTTCGCTCTTCCAAATATCTCCCTCTTTTTTCAATGATGATTAACATTTTGCAACTAGAAGTTTCAATAAACAGAGCTTTTTGGGTCTTTTTGAACAAAGTATTATTAAAATCTTTACTTAGAGAGGGGTATTTCTAACAGAATAAGAAATTATTAAGTATCTTGTAACTGTTTTCTGATCATATCATTCTGACAGGGTTTAGAAGGAGTGGTAAAAACGTTTTCCACCTTGATTTCAACGGTTTATCTTCCTTCTATTTCACAGGAATAAAGTGGTCTTCATTTTGATTCCCACAGTTTTCGTTAAGGGGCAGAAGGATAGGAAATCATTTATATGAAGATACGTACGCATATCCAAGTTCGTAAGCTGTGTCTCTGGAAAACAAATGATGAATGGCTTTTTCTCCCGTCAAAAATAACAGCGTAGCCACTAAATTACAAAAACCAATATAGTAAGTAAAAGAGATGAAGAGAACTATTCACAGATCAACTGTTTATAGCAAACCTAGAAATGGAAGCAAATCAAACCTAATGGTGCAATTTTCAATAGTGTCGAAATTAATCCGTTCTTGCATTGGTTTTATATTTTACTTCGCTCTGTGATCGGTATAGAAAAAGCGCGCCACTCTCTTAACCAATCAGATACAAAACTACAACCAATCACGACTTGCTCGCGCGCGTTTTCCCGCGCTTTAGGCAGTTAGGTTGTTTTACTTTGAGCTCTCATTGGCTCTTAAAGGTTATATGTAGATTTAGCCAAGCCTAAAAGCGTAGCTCGCATTTTTTCACGTCTCAAGGGCACAACGCCTTGCCCCGGCCAGGACTAGAACCCGGGTCGTCCGACTCGGAGCCCGGTGCACTGACCACTGGACTACTGGACAAAGCCGTGGCGTTGGCGCGCCCGCGGCACAGTTAATCTCGCATGTTAAAAGTAGCACCTTGTACGGACGCCCGTACGGTCATGAGTCCAATTTTTTTCGGCTTGATGGGTTACTACTACCATTTTGTATCATTGTGGGGCTACGTTCTGCGAGCCCCGCTATTATCCTTTCTTCTATATGGCTGTTGTGATTAATTTGGTTTTGGTTTTACGACACACTTTCAAAAAGCGCTCTCAAACCAACCGTCGTCACAAAAATAAGTTATTTTGGGAGCGAAATTCGCTTGAAAGCTTGAAGGCACCCAAGGAGCTTGTTAATACAAGATCTTTCTATGAGACAAATTTTTCACACGAATGCAGGTTTCGCACTGTGTTCGAGCGTTGTGCAACTTTTATGGCGACTTAAAAGCTACATCGTAAAAGTCATCTGACTGAAGCGCAAAATACAAACCTCAGCTTTATCCAACGATTCTTACCTTCATTATAAGAAGAGTTGGTGAACTGAGTTCCATTAATCGTTACTGGCATACCAGCAGGACATGTGTAGTTTCTTACATCTCTTTCTGTGTGTAGAGGGTGCTGGGTGTCTGTCAAACACTTTCGACTGAAGAAAATAAATAAAATGAAAACAATGGCTCTTTTATTTTGGACTGACTTTTTCTACACAAAGCTAACTGAGAGATACTACGAAGAACATAAATTGAGTGTTATACCTATATCCTTTTGATGTAAAGGAACAATGAAACGGCGTACAAGGAAATGCCGCAGGAAGAAAAACTGACGCTGTACCAGTGATTATCTGTCAAACAAAAGATCCCGGTTAGTTTTGTCAAGGAGAGTAGTTTAATGGAGAATGACGACCCTCCTTAACCTGAATTTGGCAGGTCATGTTCCTGTTCAGGAATGACTTTTTACACTTGAAATGAGATCTATTCCCGAATGACTTTTTACACTTGAAATGAGATCTATTCCCGAACAGTCTGTACAAGTTGGTTCTAAATTTAAAGCCGATTTTACAAATCTGGGAAACATACCCTGTGCGTGATCACCAAACTGTGAAACAAGTTTAAGTAATAATATAATTATTTACCTTAATTAAGTTAATAAGGAAAAAAAAGTTGTCAGACTGCTCATCCAAAAACAACTCTGACATGCGCCGAAATATAAAGGACGGCTTTGACTGTCAGTCAGAACTGGCTGGTCTAATGATTTTGAGAATTCCATTATTTATCAGATCTGTTTATGATGAAAATCAGTTTTTATACTTTGCCCGGCGATGAAGTTTACAGAAACTAGGAATTAAAGATCTTACCAAATTTTGAAGTCATCTGTGATCTATTACTGAACAAACGCACAGCAACATGAACCCTATTTGAACATACCATGATTAACACTGGCTCTGACACTTTGGCAATGTTTTTCCATTGTTTAGAATTAATCTTTGCAATCCATGATCTTCTAAAGCGTGCAATCTAGAGGGAAATAAATTTACAAGAAATCATCGATTAAATGGAAGCTAAGAAATGAGACAACAAAGAACAGAAGTATTCTTGTTAAAGTTCTTTCAAATAATGTGAGAGAAATCCATTATCTCCGATTATTATACATTCAACTCACTACATTGTTTTGTTTTGGCCGAAAGCGTTCAGTGAATCTTTTGAATCAGCGCCAGAGGCGTCATCTAGCTGCATATTATACAATAATCATGTGAAGGTCACTCAAGGTGACGGGCAATCATGTCATGTAGGACTGCAGTGCATGATTTCAAGGGGTAATCATGTCAAGTTCGCGCGCTTTGAGTGGCATGCTGATTTGTATATTTTTACACGTTTATAAATAAAATAATTATCGGTTCCACTTACTGTCATGACCATTTCTCTTTCCTTCAATGTACAGTAAAACAGTTATCAGATTCGGTTTTTGTGATATCCAGAATAATCAAAGCCTTGGTAAGCGTTATCAACCTCAGCCTTGGGCTTATAACCCCTACCTCGACCTTGATTGTTCTGGATATCACAAAAACCTCACACAGTAATTGTTTATTGGCAAAACTTTAAGATGCAGTACCTTTAAATTGAGGAAAGTGAACACAGCTCCTAATAAACCCCCCATTATCCCAAGAATGACGGTTGGTATGAAAGCCAAGATGTTTAATCCAATTCCATGACTAATCTGCCAGAAATGATAGAAACAAACAAACAAGATTGATGAAACGTTCACACCAGAAACCATATACTTTGTTATCCACATCAATTTGTGTAGGGAAAAAAATCATCTCTTGCTGAAGTGTGAGATTCTGTTAACTGAAGCAAAGTATGATACATGATGCTGAACTTCACCCTGCTTTCCATATGGCAAAGAAACTAGAGGCACTCCTTATGTCCAGGGATCCCTGTCACTTCACCAGTACCCATTAAATACTCCTGGGTGGAATGGAGCACTGTAACTATTGAGAGTCTTGCAAAAGAACACAACAGTTGTTAGGTCTTGGGCCCAGACCTCTCCACCACAACTCAAATGTGCTCACAGTCAGACCCCTGTATCATCCACGTGGCTGAGATTCATGATATTTCTAGATTATAATTCTAATCTCCTTTTCAAAATTGATGCAGGTTTACTAAATCATGTCCAGCTAAACAGATATAAGATATCACAGTTGGGAACAGTTTCAAATATTTCAAAGTTTAGCACAGCCCCAGAATGACCTAAGAAGGGACACATTAGGGAGGTGGCTTGGCTAAGTGGTTAGGTCTCTGGACTTGTAATCTGGTGGGCCTGGGTTCAAGTCCTCCACCCTGCCATTAACTGGATTTTTTTCTCAGTTCCCTCAAGTTCAACTCCTCAGCTGTGTTATGTAAATAGGCAACTGGTCTGCCTCCTGCCACTTAGGATTTTTCAAGCACGTTATGTTTGTTTTAGTAATTGTAAAATGCTATTGGATAGCAACAGAAATAGCACTATATAAATAAATTATTATTATCATTATTATTATTATAATTGTAATTGGGCAAAGCATTGTCCTTATGACTGGCTTATAGCTGGCTTGAGAGTGACTGGGCAAAAAGAAGCATCCTTACAGAATGACTCTGGTCTATACTCACTTGAAACAAAATGTTCTTTTCTGCTTTAAACAAGCCAAAATCTCCTTGATACTTGAAGCCTTCAAATGCTGAATTAAACAAGTCCTACAAACAGCAAGCATTCATGATTACATTATATCAATCAAGAACTAAAAAACACATTCTGCCATAGAAATAAGTTGGTAATTGTATTTAGCACATTGGCAATTATATTTCCTAGCACTGTAAGAGAGTTACTGAGTAAACAAAACAAAATTTTCAGATTCACATGTTTTATCACCTGTGCAGTTTGTGTCTTGGTGACTTAAAAAATCTCACGGGCGAGGAGGGGATCATGACATCAATTCTACAATACACAGGTACATTAGATTATTACTCACAGTGGTGAATGTTGATACCATGCAAGCAAAGAAAGTCTGCCATGACAATTTCATGTTCCAAAAAGACGACACTTCTTCCATGGAGAACAGCAGGCCACCAACTGGAGCCCCAAAAGCTGAGGCCACACCTGCAGCAGCACCAGCTGAGATGAAGTTACGCCTGTTCAAGATAATATCAACCATCATATTCTGTTCATGAATAAATGATTGTAAATAAACCATATTTTGATACATGAATAATACCAATACACCCACAGAAGGAGATTTAAGAAATTGCACAAAGATCAAGCCTTTAAAAAGCAGACTCCCAAGAAAAAAAAAACAACTGCAGAAGTGCAAGGAACCTGTGCAATTGACTGGTTTCTGGGGGAGTGAGAAGATTTCTAGATCCTTGATGCTATTACAGCTGCAATGGATGATGTTCTCTAATTAACTAAATTTGGGAAATCAACTGCAATAGGGGGGAAGTGAAGGAGGGGAACCCCCCACACAATTAACTGGTATCCCTGGAGGAGTGAGAAGATTTTTAGATGCTTGATGTGATTAATATTAGGATAGTTAGGCCTTCTGGTTGACTAACTTTGACTGAACTGATAAATAAAATCATTTAATATATGCCTGAAATTCCCATGGTTTCTTGGGATAAAATATATTGATAGAGAAGGATGAAATCACTGCTTACCTGTCTTCTGTGTTTCGAAACCTCTCAAAGAATGGCAGTTTAAACTTAAGTGTCTGTGACTTAAACTGACTCAGACCAGCTCCAACCAAACTCCTGTGATAAAATTGGAACCTTCTCTCAATTTCTGATCACTGGCACTTTGTCACTGCCACTTTGTTAACCCTTTAACTCCGAGAAGTGATTAACAAGTAACTTCTTCCTATAACATCCATACATTATCCAGCAAGCAGGTAATAAGAATATTCAAATTTATCAGGTTAAGTTGTTATCTTGATGTAACACCAAATTCTCATGGCCCAATTCCCAAGAAAATGAGTACCAGCTAGAAGGAAGGATCAACAATCAGATCTTGGGAGTTAACCCTTTAAACCCTCAGAGTGACTAGCATCTAATTTCCCTTCACAGTAATACTGCTGAATCATGCACCATGGTATTAAGAATAAAGGATGAAAGAAAGGATAATCAGGCTTAAATCATTAAGGGCCCAAAACAGAAAACAGTTGGTAGGTCTGGAGCCACCTTAATTACAAACTTGATACAGCTGCTGTTTTGGCTGCAATGGTGAGAGATATTTAGCAGCCGTGTAGCCTGCTGTATTTTTTTTATCATCTACTACCTGTTTATGGTCTAAACTTACAGTGAGATAAACATTTGCACACACCAAATGTTGGAAATGCTTCATTAGTATTAACATTGAACAAAGAGTGCTTTTCCATTTTTTCCTTTACTTTTTTTTTCTTTTTCGTTTTGGGCAACCACTTTATGACCTAGGAACCCTATATTATTAACTAATAGATAATTTAATATTGCCAAGTGGATGTAAAAAATATGAATCTTTTCAGCTGATTGCTGTAAGAAAGAAAATATAATACAATTTACAAAACTTACAACATTACTTTCAAGTGTCCCAAGACTTTTTTCAATAATTTCAGTTACTACTTATTCTGATTCATATTGAGACATAGACAAACATCTAATGAAAACCATACCCAAGGTGGATCATTGGACCTTCTGGACCAATAGGAAGTCCTGCACCAACTGCACAAACACAGGAGAAAAACTTGACTACCATAGTCTTGAGGTTAAAGATGTGTCGCACTACTGTGCCATTTAGGAAACCAATCAGTTCCGGAATGCCAGAACCCCCAGCAGAAGGACGATAATACTGTTAGAACCAAAAATCAAAAAATTTTTATTGTTTAGAAGAAGACAAATCTTTGCTGACTTTATTTGGTCATTTTATTTCATTAGGAATCCCCATATCACTCCCATAAAGAACCAAAAAGGAATTTCTTCTCCAAAAATGAAAACATACTTAAGCAGAAAGGTGATGAAATTTTCAAAGCTTAAATTATGAAAAAAGTACAGCAGACAGTACTGTAGAGAATTGACATCTATATCTTGGGAATTATAGAGTCAAGTAGAAAAATTAATTTTTAAGTTGTATACTCACCACAACTGGAACAGAACTTGCTATGACAAAAAGTACACTATAACCAATGACCCATATCCAAGCTAAGCCAAACTCACGATCCTATAGAGAAAGAACTGATTTGTTTACATGTAATTTTCACAGAAAGGAAAGGAATCACTAATAATATTTCTAGGGTTTTTCAATGTTTTTGGTATTATGTTGAATCAAATAATGTGGTTTGTTTTTTAAGTATGTTGCCTTTAGTTAACAATTTTGAGTTTTCTTTCGAGTGAACATTAAATGAAAGGAAACAGGAAACATAACCACAGTAACTTTTACTCACATACCTTTATAAACTCAGAGGCTTTGTCCCATTTCACTCTATTGAAAATGGAAGAAAAATACCAAATACATACATTCTGTGTAAACTATATGTATTTTACACTATTCAACAATTCTTATATCAGTAATGAGATTCTTACTATTACAGGTCATAGCTCTGAAGCTTTCATTGCAGGTCACTTACAAACCTTTACCTTGTGACTTTACCAGTGATAGACCAACATGCTTAATATCAAAATAATTATCTCTACCATAATTAAAAACAACGAAAGGAAAGGCAGTTATTGTATGGTAAACCTTTTCCATGTTCTCCCAGAAGCCATTGCCAGTTATTACATTGTTCAATAGATAAAGAGTGCAAAGACTTGCTTTAACAAAAATCAAAAAACAAAAAACAAAAAAACAGACAGCCAGTGTGTACATTTAAGCTTTCAAATTAATAAATTATTATAATAATAATAATTTAGCAAATTTTAAGAAGACCTCTTCTGAAAATCCCATGCCTATCCTTGGATTAAATAAGTCTTAAAAGGCTTTCTGGCCAACATTTCTAAATAATATAAAATGTTACCAACAAATAAGGATGGAAAGCAGCTTAAGTTATAATTTGCATGTCAATAAAATAATAATTAGTGTTGAATCCTATCATTTGTGAAAGAGCTGTATAATGAACCCCTTAACTGCCAACCCCACTGAAAAGTCCTATGCAAACAGAAATTGACTGATTATTTCTCACAATTTTAACTTGATTTGAGTTTTAGATGCCAGTTTATTTTACATCTTCAGTGCCAGAGATTTGAAGTGCCAGAGATTTGACTGTAACTCTCCAACTTTGGACAAACATAGTATCTCATGTAAGCACAAACTGCAAATTGCATGATGTACTTGGTACTTCATGCAGGCAGTGAAGGGCATGTTAAGTTTGATTCATCATCAGTGACACACACAGCTACAACAGTTTACCTGCATTTGCAATCTATGCACTCAAAAGCTGTGCACACAATCTAAGAATTGTATATGCCAAGATATACATCAAACATCAAATTGAACATTTGTGTTCATCAAGTTATATTGCACACAACAAGGATAAATAAGATTTTTTTTTTCAATAAAAAACATGACTGTCTAATATTTGTAATACAACATCAGCAAGACATACTCTGATATGACATCAATAAGTTGATGCATAAGAAATCCAATAAATCCAACTGAGAATCCAATCATTCCCATCATCACCCACCGGTCCCAATCAAGACGTGATGGCTGCTGCTTTAACCAGTTCTAGAATTAACAAATAAATCATTCAAATTAACAAACGACCTCCCAAAGGAGGGAGACACTTAGAAAGAGTTTTGGAGGGAAGTGTGCATGCCAATGAGGCCTTTTAAACCCTGGACCCATTCAAAACAATGTCCAATAAGTGAGATACATAAGCAAACTGAGTTATGGAGTGTATGACCCTAAAAGCAAGTAAACGTTAGGTTCAAGTGTTATTATACATGTCAAACTTAACCCCTTCAACCTCCAGAAGTGATTAACATGCAACTTCTTCCTACAATATCTATATGTTATCCAGCAAACAGGTAATGAAAATACTCAAAACTTATCAGGTAGAAGTTTTCATCTTGATCTAACACCAAATTCTTGTACCTTCCTTAAAAAGAAATGTGTAATTAATAATGCACTAACAAGAAAAATATTTTGAATACGACACCCTAGATTTAAGTGAGTCAAGCACCTCAGTTCCGTAACGTATGTCCACCTAAAACGGTAAATCATTCTCTTTGCAAATTTCTAGTTGGAGAGCAAACTTTGAGATCGAGAAACGTGTAAGAGCTTTGCCTTGACCTTCCCGGAAGCAACCTACGATGCAGTCACACTCTCGCTCTACCCTTGACCGCGCTAAATTGTGGTGTTCGCTATTTACTTCTTTCAGAGTCGCTCACTGACCTTGTACACAGCACTGTGAGGAGGTAGATAGTCTACACTTTCAAATGTGGCGAGCTTCTCCTTTTCCTCCTCCGTGTAATGGTGATTTACATAGCGACTTTCGAATTCGCGTCCCTTTTGGAAGAAACTGGTCTGATTTGCTGTTGGTAGAGCGTCTTCATCCGCGTGAGAAGATGACACACCGTACTTGCTTGGTTTTCTTCTTATTGACATTTCTTAAAAAGGGGAAACAGGCCTCTCAGGGTTGCACAATAACCAAGTACTTGCATGCAAATCCAGCTAAATCTGTCACTAGGTTCTGAGCGCCATTGATGCCGCTTACCAACTTGTCATCCGAGATGTTTTTGTCCGAGAACTGGTCGTTACAGTCCGAATGCATCCGATTATTCACGAAGGTCGATCGTATAACGGAGTCGTCCAAGTGATCATGTTATCAAAGGCATCGCGAGCAAACCGCAAGCAACCGTTAACATGTACGTTGAGATTAATAAGTCTTCTTAATAAATTAAGAAAAAAAAAAAAAAAGAACGGAAAGTAGGAAACAATTGCCCTTGAGGGCAAGAATCGCCAACGAGAGATGGCTGTTGGTGGTAAATACACAAGTTAACTCGACTTAATGCCTGAAGCGTAATACTATCATCCTTAAACTGGTGTTACCAGGGATTGCAGAGGTGTCCCGAGGAATTCACCAAAAATGTTCACCAGTGCTCTCTCGGCTCTAGAATCGTAGGTTCCTTCGTTGGTCCTCGATGTTAAAATTCTTTCTCAGTATCGCCAGTATCGCACAAACAGACCCACTTGTTGCTAGGCCTAGTAAGAGATGACCTGACTTGTGAGTACAAAGAAAAATTCATCCTCGTTAAGCAATTCGTTTACGGGTTTAAATCAAGCCTACATATGAGTTTGGTTAAGAACATCTAGAAGACCGCCTAAAAACCGAAAAGGAAAACGTCTTTGAAGGTTTGAGTGAAATCAAGTGTGTCCAAATTGATGCTGGTGCTACACCGATCTCCCACATTCCACCCCCAGCAGGTCACCAGCTGGCCTTAAAAGCTCTCTCAGCCCTTTAACTCCCAAGATCCAATCGTTAATTCACCTTACTAACTGCTATACATATCCTAGTTTCTTATGCAGGAGAATTGCAAGCCGAGTAAGAGATAACCTGACTTGTGAGTACAAAGAAAAATTCATTCATTAAGCAATTCGTTTACGGGTTTAAATCAAGCCTACGTATAAGTCTGGTTAAAAACATCTAGAAGACCGCCTAAAATACCGAAGAGGAAAATGTCTTTGAAGGTTTGAGTGAAATCAAATGTGTCCAATATAAAATTCGCTTTGATTCCGAAGCAACACCGATCTTCCACATTCCACCCCCAGCAGGTCCCCAGCTGCCCTAGTAAGCTCTCTTAGTCCTCTAACTCCCATGATCCAATCATTAATTATCCTTACTAACTGCCATACACATCCTTGTTTCTTATGCAAGAGATTTGATTCCAAATCACGATAACACAATCTAACCAATAATAACATATTAGGATCGCAGGGAGGAGTTATCTGTTCATATCTTCAAAGTGCTTAAGGATATAAGAGGAATTTTCAACTTCGTAACAGACCTCGCCGCGCCTCGCCACCCTGGAGTCTCTGTGGCTCAGTGGTAGAGCATCGGAGCGCGGAATCCGAAGATCCGAGGTTCGATTCCTTGTGGGGACTCAGAATTTTTTCTTTGTCCCACACTCGTGACAAGACGAAAAAAAACATCATTCTTGATATAAGTGGACTTTCGAGAAGCAGGTCCTCACCATTAGCACTGCGGGATATGCATTTCTTCGCAAGCGGGAAGATTTGAGACAGTCGAGGAAAGATTTGCCGAGATTTGTCTGGCACTTATACTATCAGTGCTACACCCCTTACAGACCTCGCACCGGCTCTCGTCGCTCCAGGCCTCCAACATACCCGTGGGCAAAGAATCGCACGTGCCAAAGCGCTTATATTGAGGGCCTTGAGCTGAGCTCTATGTAAACTTGACGTTGATGTGTGAAACCTGTCAATGAGCCTGGAAAACAGAAGAAAAACTTCCACCAAACTATTTATAGTGACTGCCTTCTTCCTC